GGGGGGGGGGGCAGTCGTGGTCGGCAAGGTAGTGTTCTGAACGCCTTGAAGTGGCGGTACACCGGTTTGCGCTGAGTAGGGGAGGCTCCCCTTGATGCGCTCCCCATTGAAACAGGTCCGGAACGCCCCAGTATGTTGCAGAGCGATTCCATAAGCGGATCATCGGGAGAGCGCGCTGGCACCTGACGCTGCGGTTTCCGTATACTTTGCATGTTTGTTCTTGCGTTTCTTCTTCTTCTTCTTCTTCGGCGCTTTCTCGGTGGGTCCGGGAGAAGCGTCCCGAGTGAGAGCCAACTCATGTTGGCGCAACAATTCCTGGTATACTGCACGGGTGGGATTGGCGACACCGTACAAGATGCAGTTGTCCGCTGTGGTGAGATGACCAATGATGACCAGTATGTCCAGTGCCCCCGCCCAAGCACTCTTGGCACAACTCAGGGCAGTCCCCTCGTTTTCCTGCTTTCTTCGAAGCCATGGTGGCTTCCCAGCATAGGTTGAAGAATTTGGTCTCGCCCTTCCTGCCAATTTCACGATCTTGACTTACTCAAGACCCTCGTCCGAGGTACTCCCCCGTTCCCCGTACTTCCGGCTGCTCTTCTGCGGACAAGTAGTAGGGCTCGCTCTTCAGCAAGGAGGCTCGTGCCTAGGTAGTCGGTGTTGTTGTAGGTAGAAGTCTCCAGCGGTGGCGCCTCCCGCCCTAGCTTCGCTTGGCCTTCGTCGTTTCTTTTGGCGCTCGGCTCCCCCTCCACGAACTGTTAGTGGGCCTCGGTGTGCAGGAGCTACAGGGTCGTCCTCGTCGACGACGTCGAGATGTGGATGTAGCCCGGTGGGTGGCCGCATGTGGTGACTATGTCATTGTTCGCGTTGTGGTGCGGCACCGGTGGGTAAGCGTATGTTAGCGTCCTCTTGAAGGGGTCGTTCATGGCGGCAGCAGCTTGCGTGTTGGTCTTGTTGTTGGGCTCCTTCTGCTCCCCGGTCGCTGTTGGTGTCCCGCGTTGGGAGACTGGCGGTTCTGCTGGTGTCGATGCTGCATGCTCGTGCTGCAGCGTGGCCTCGCCTCCCGTATAGTCTTGCAGTCTTGCATATCCTCAGTGTTCTTCTCGGACTCTTCGTTGCCGCCCTGTTGGGAGACCATTCCCGTATGGCGTCCCAGGCTTCTCTTTCCTCCTGTCTGTCCTGGATGTGCCAAGCTTTCTTTGTCTCATGCGGGGCCTCCATGTTGGAGGGCAGGTCGCCGGCGTCAGCTGCGGTGCAGCTGGCTGTGTTCGGTGTAGGGGTGCGGCTGTCTTGTGGGTCGGCTGCCGAGGTTGCTGCTGAGCTACTGCCGGAGGTTGGCCTCGAAGGGTCTTGGTCACCGCATGCGGGTGGACGCTGGGTTGTCGTTCCCGTCTTGGGAGCTGCTCGCCGTGTCCCAACCGCCTTCGAGGTCGCTGTGGTTGTAGTTCCCGGGTAAAGGCCTGACCTCCATTGAGGGCCCGTGTGCGTGGAAGACGCACTATTACCGGCGATGCCCTCACGGATAGGATGGCGTCCGTTGGCATCGTAAGCAAACTGTGCCTGTAAGGGGCTCCCCCGGATTGGCTCGCGTCCCAGGAGGCAATCTTGGTGGCGCCCTTGAAGTGTCACGATCTCTCCCATAGCACACGGAATCTCCCGAGGCTCGCACTGTCCGGGCTCTTTGCAAGTGGGCGCGCCCATATTGGTGAGGTAGCAGAAGCCAGTGTCCCTGACACGCCGAGGAGGCAGCGGTTCACCGCGGGCTCCGTTCTTTACTCCGTCCCGGTTCAGGGCCCCCGCGATGAAGTCGCATAGTGCCTCGTTCTCCCCGTTCAGCTCGTATGGCGGCAGCGTCTGCCCTAACCTGTCAAAGGGCAACCTTCTTGCACGGCCGCCGTTCCACTGTGACCGCTAAGGTCAGGGGCAGGGTTGCAGTGGCATCTTGCACAACCCGCGAAGGACTCTGAGTATGGCTTGTCTTTAATGCTGCTTTCGTCTGGATACATAAGACCCAGTCAGCATTGCGAGGTTGAGGCTGGGGGCTGTGCTGCGTCTGTCCTGGTTCTAACCCATCCATCTAGGACGAGACGGGACACTCATTGTCGTGCGAAGCTCCTCCTGGAGCCCTTTGCAATTTGTTTGAAATCTTCTGTGGGGACCATAGGAGGCTTGACATTACCGTCGTGTGCCAGGGCTGGTGGCATCTCTCCAGGCGTGCTAGAGCAGCCAACCAACACCAGAGCCATTGCAAGCTGCACGACGCGAACAAGACAAAGGATCTGCAGAGGTTCTTCACAGCGGCATTGCGGAGGACACTTAGTTTCAACGTGCACCGCATGCAGCTTGCGGCTCAACAAGGTAGAGCTACGATTCACTATGCCGGTGACATTTGGATGGTTAAAATAGCTCGATCTATCGAGGAATCCCCCATTGCTGTGTACTGTTCTCACATGTTATCACTGCCTACCTGTGCGGTTGTTCTGAAGTCGCAGCCAACTTAGAGCAGCAGTGATTGTTTCAACTAGATTCATTCCAAGGTGCTGTAAGGCCGAATCGTGCACATCAGCATCACCAACTTTGCTTGTCCTCACCTCGTGTTTGCAAGGCATTGCAAGCCAGCCTCCCTACACTGTCCTACACACGCATACACTGCGGACCAAGCCAACTGGACTCCCACTCAAAGCCGTGAGTTGCAAGAAAGTCGCGACTCCATAGTCAATCAACGTCACCTGGACACTGCAAACTGTTCTGATCTGTTCTGCACGTTTGTTGCCTTGCGGCGCGAGTTCGAGCCGAATGGACGTGGCTCCAAAGAGCCGAGTGAAGTGCAGCGCACTTAAATCGTGTATTATTCTACGCGAACCCTCGTCCGCGCAGGGTCGAGCGGCAGCGCATTTCGAGCTTGGAACCGTCAGAGTCCGTCAGAGGTGTGATTTCGTTTATGCATTTGTGCTTGCAGTGTGCCCTGAGCAGGGTCGGTTTCACTAGATACGTTCAAACACTGCCAGGCTTAGAGCAACACCCGAAAAGGGAACCTTGCAAGTGCAAGCTGTCCACAGGTAGACGCGTCTCGAATCATTTGAACTCTAGGCGCTTCCTGGCCTGGAACTCTTGTGCGTGCTCCTTTGCAGAGGCTTTGGCCTCAAGCAGTGCCAAGTACATGGCAAACTGCACCTTCTTGCCTAGGTCTCCTCCTTCAGACTGAGAGAAATTGGCTTGGGGAGTCGGGAGCCCTGCTCTGAAACAGGAGGCGGGTCCTCACGAACGGCACGAAAGTGCGACCAAGATACTATCATGATGTTCTCGGGCTTCAGGTCCTTACTGCAGAAATCTACTCAGCTCCTACTGTGCCCTCCACCACTCCATGAAGTCTTGGTAGAATCCACTAGAAGCCCGCACCAGCCGTGGACTCGTGGAAGTTACATCAGGCCAAAAGTACAAGGAACCGAGCAATCCGTTCTCAACCAACACAGCATAAGCGCCGGTGTCTAAAGCATGAGCCGTGCCACAAGATGGAAATGAAGCTGCCCCTCAGGATCTGGTTTGGTCATGCCTGGCTTGTTGCTGCACGAGGATGAAAAGGCAATTGCTACATGCCTGATCAAGAATGTTGCATTTCTAGTCTCAGCTGAACTTAAGATGCATTGGATCTGCTCAAATTCTGGCCGCGCGCAACACAGGACAACCCTCAGTGCTATAGCCAAAAATGTCAAAGCATTCGCGGTACTGATCATGATGCTCGTCAACTGCTCCAGGATGTCTAAAGCCTGGCGGACCTTGGTTTCAAGCAGAGACTGTACGTCAAATTGTGCGCGCATGCACGCATGAACAGACGGACTTGCACCCTTGCATGTCTGCCCGTCTCACATCACTGCACATGTATCCACGCATCTTGGTGCACATCCGTATGTTTGCCCGCCGGTTTGTCGATGTGTTCGAAAGTTGCGGTCTCTTGCGTGCTGGGGGCAAAGAGGGGGAGCCCCCCTGTGCCGCAAATGCTGAGTTCTACTCGTTTTTGTTGTAGCAGCAAGTATATCAGCCGTCCTCGCTCCTGCATGTCTCACCCGAACACAAGCTTGCGCAGCCTTCTCTTTGTCTCCATCCGGACTACTGCAAGGCCAAAATTTTGGAACCTCGAGTCGAATCAAGTACTTCTACAAGGACCACCAGAGCCTGATCACCGTCCTGGACTTGATGGTCATGCGAAGCATGCTACAATCCTCACTAAGGAGCGGTTCCAAGCAAGGAAACTCCGGAAGCATCCCGAGATGAGAACAAACCGACTCAAGGACTGCAGCCAACCGTGAACCGGCAAAATGCACATCCCAACTCGTCCAAGGTCAAACTATCAAAGAGAAAAAATCCAGAAACCTTCGTGGGGAACGTATGTGTAAATAAGTAAACGAACAAATAAAAGAACAAAATATAAACAAATAAAACATAAATGAACAAGGGAATAAGCAAATAAATAGATAATGAATATGTATGTGTATATATATAT